TCTGGATAGCATCCCTTCCCTCCAGTGTGTCTGCTAAGACTGTAGCAGCCCCCTGCAGAAACCAAGTCAAAAAGCTTACCTTTTTCATCCAGTTTGGCACATTCTGCAAAGAGGTCTTTTGAGCCTGTATTGAGCCTGTCCCGATGGAAATAATGAGACTGAAAAAATCGTGTCCAGAATTCCCTCTCGGTCATGTTATGTGGAACATTTTCTGCATATTTCATTTTTACTGTGAACAAAAAAACCATAATGATTACAAACTGTTCTGGAAATCTTAATACGGTATTTTATGTTAAAATTTCCTTACTTTCTAATGCTGCCTTCATTCATGCTGATTAAATGTAAGGGAATGCAGTAGTGCAGCATGAGCAAACAAGTACTCTTTTATGCCCTGCAATGCTAGCTAATGCTTTGATGAGAAATGCATGTAACAGTGGTTGGGATACTCTAATTTGAATTGCACACAGACAAGAACACTGATTTGCCAGAGTTCTAGTTATTCTCAGAATGGATCTAGTCTTTTTAACCTGGGGCCAAAATGAACCAGTGTCAGCGTTCAATATAGTGCAGGGGAACGATGGAAATTGGACTCTCTTCCTCCCAAAGTTGATTTCATGAAAAATATAAATTAATTGAAATGCTGAGTAGGACAGTATCATGGGAGCCAAACAACTACTCACAAATAAATAAATAAAAAGGTCAATGCAATCAATTAAAATGTTTTAACAAAATCAAGTTTTCATTTAAAGGCATGTTTTAACGCATGCTTCTTCCCATCTCTCAAATGGGGCAGGGAAAATCATCCAGAGGACTGAAGATATGGTCCTTTATACTTCCAAGCTCAGACTAACATTCTAGTCTTCTCACATTAAGACAGTAAAAACCAAATCTTAAATGCATGTATTTGTTATGTAAAGCACTGTTCTTACCTGCAGGATATGTTCGAAATATGGATTCAATGATATCTGAAGTCAAATTATACCTCAGACCATTGCAGCCATCTGTTTGAGGCCGTACATCAGCCTAAGAAAAAGCATACAGGGAGGAAAAACTGTCATGTCTCAATGTCTTCTGTAACTGGAGAAGGAAAAAAACCTGGCATCTTGCAATCAAATTCCGCTGCAGATAAAATAATCTTCTACCTCCAATAATCCACAGCATATTTGATCATAAATAGGTTATTTTTAGATGAGAAATGAAAGAGCATGCATTAATTACTTTATTGTATTTGCCACTTAAGGGTTGATTCAACAAGTAGAGTGTAGCTTTAGAAGATGAAAAGCAAAGATCACTGTCAATCAAAAGAAGGTATGCTTAGTTTAATATATCCTTGTTTCAAAGTAAAAATAGGTGTGTTTACTGTCTATGCCTAACCTTTTGTTGTTCATTCAGCAATTCAGCTAGTGAATAATCAGTGATGATAATGAAGTAACAAAAAAGGATTTATGGCTCTTACACCTTATTTCCTTATATGCTAAAGGCATCTCAGTGTAATTGATAAATAACATTGAATTTAAAAACTGAGGGTAAGTCTGAGTCAGAACGTGCAAGTGAGGTCTCAGTGATCTCTTTAGGAAGCTCTGGAGCAAGCAAGCACTCAGTCCAATTCTCAGTAACAGGAAAAAGGACATGATTGCATATGCTGCTGCCTTTTCTTCCTATTCCTGTACACCTAAATTCTAGTTTTTGTACCACCCTCTTCCTAGAGAAACACTCATTCTGAGCAGAGCAGGATAATTATTTTACCTTGAACTAGGACACATAAATATCTGAAGTTTTCTTCTTCACAAATGCTGAGCACACAAACACAACCAGTCATTTTAAGAAAGCTTGAGTTTTGAAGGTTGGGGTTTGGTTGTGGGGTTTTTTAAAATGTTTTTTTCTTTTAATATTAAGGTGTAAGAATAACAGGAGACAGGAAATCAGAGCAATCAAGTTCATTTGGTAACCAATTCAGGTATTACTAGGGGGGAAAAAAATAAGCATTTGTACAGCAGCTAAGTCATAAAACAACTCCCACCTCCTCTTTTCCTCCCAAATCCTTGATGTGTTCACAGTCATTACAAAGGTGGAAAGGGGATTCCAGCTAGAGTCAGACTCTCCATGAATTTTGTTGCAGAAGTAGCAACATGTCTATGTGGGAGGAATCTGAAGACTGTACCTAGATTACTTTTAGACTGCACTGAGATTACTGAGGCATAGTTTCTACAAATAGGGAACATAAACTGAAAGTTA